GGTGCCATGCGCGAAGAACCTGCGATCCCCATCCACGCCGCTATCGACGCCTACGCGCGCCACTGGACCGACCTCGCAGTTCTGGGCGCAGAATGCATGGATGCGAGCGTCCGTTTGTGGCTCTGATCCACAGAGTCGAACCGCCTGAGTCACCGCGCGTGCACTTACAGTGAGCACGGCCTTCCATGGCACTCGAGCTGTCTTTCATGTTGCAGATGTGCAGCAACAGCCAAGCAATGTACTCTTCTTCTTGACGACGCACCCACTCGGCGATTTCTCCATGGCCATTACCGCCCCAGAGTTTATGCTGAGAGCCCGTGACCATGGCCAAGCCATCGTAGCGATCCCATGACCAGCATATGTTTTAAAATGTATCGTGGATGGCTTGATTGCGATGTGGTCCTTGCCTGCAGGTCGTAGAGCACGATTCGGACATGGCGGCCATTTCGCGATGCGATTGCAATGGGCGGAATATGTAGCCCTTGATTTCCACGCGGGCCTCCGCGACATTGCTCCTCGAAGTGAAAAGATGTTTGTTTTTAACGAAATGCATTGCGGGAAACCTGATTTTGTTTCCATCTCGGCGGGGCCGTGCGTCGGCAATGCGCATGGGTCGCGCGTCTATTCCTCTTCATCGGACGTGTCCGTCCATGCCGGTATGTCTGTTTCGTCTCCCTTTGATGCTGCAGCTTTTGACCTTGGTTGAGAATTTACAGCCAGTGGCTCAGCAGATGCGGATGCCGCGGCAGTTGTTCTGCAGCTGATGAGGCCAATGGTCCACCATGGAGCTTGGCCGTCGCTGATTTGTCGGATCTGCTCGATGCTTTTGCAGATGGCCAGAGAGTCAACTTGGATGCCCTCTGGCTTTGGTTGTAGCTGTTTGCCAACTGGCACCGGATCGGGCAAGCCAACAGCCTGGCTGCCATTTTCTTCAGCGGAGATGTCGGGCCCTTGGTCGCCTCTAGATTCCGCATGGCTGCGGGGTCAAAGGGCGTCTTAGGCACTGGCTTGGCTTGTCCTTTGCCCTTGCCCGCTTCCGAGCTTGATTTTTCTCTGCCTAACCTTCCTTTGCGCGCAGCGGGTAAAAAGAACCGCGGGGCGACCGTTTGTTTGGGCGACGGTGCGCCGTCTCCTCCAGAGGTGGCAGCCTTTTTGGCGAAACTGCCTGAACGTTACCGTGGCTGTCGCAGAGGACCAGACTTGGTCTTTCTCGGTCTGTCCCCGAATTCCACATCGCTGCCCGGAGACGGCCCCAGGTGTCCCGGGCGAAGTTTCCTTGCAGACGTCGCCTGTGAGGGCTCGGTGTCAGAGACGCCCCGGGCGCGGCCGCCCTCGCCCTTGGCGCCGCCGTCTTCGCCTTGGGCGCGGCCGTCCGCTTCCGCCGGTGAGGTGGGTGAGAGCGGCGCCTCCTATTCGCCCCCCTCTGCGTCCCCGATCTGCCCTTCTGCCCCGCGGGTAGATCCCAAGGGGGGTCGGGGGGTTCAGCGCGGGAGTTTCCGATGATCTGCCCCGTCGCGCTCAGGCACCGCCGCCGAAGGGCGCCGCGGCCGCTATCCTCGCGCGTCTCGCCTGGACTCCTGCGGTGCCAGTCCCGTTTGTAAACCTCGAAAATGCTATCATCAGGAGGCGCGCTCCATTCCTCGCTGACGTCGCGAACATCCGAATCGGAGAGCGGATCGCATTCCGACTCAGTCGTGGCCGACCCTCCTACGCCGCGCCCCTGGTCGGGGCGCCGCGGCGTAGCCCAGCGAGAGGGGCCGCGCGACTGCCGGTCCGCGGGGCAGTCGCCGCAGCGTCGACTGCGCGGCGGGCAGCGATGCAAGCGGCGGCCCCTTTGAGCCTGCACAATGTCTCGCGCGCACGCGCGCCTCTCATCACCGCCTCTGCCTCGGCGGCGCCATGCCCCGATGGCGCGACCGCCGGCGTCGCGGAGAACGCGCTGCATAGACCGCCAATGGCGGATTTGTTCCTCGGCGTAGCCCCGGTCGAGGTAGCGGGCCACGTCCGCGTCGTCCATCTCCGCCAGTGGGCCGCGTTCGTTATAGGAAATGGCAGAGTAACCCTTCCCGGAGAAGGATTTCACCTTGCCCCGGCCCGATGCGCCAGAGCTCGCCCTGGCCCGATCCGAGGGGCCAGCAGACAGGGCGCGCGCCGTGCGCTTTGAAGGGCCCGCCGTGCGTGAGCAGGCGCGGCCTCGGCCAGGGCCGCCCGCGCCCGGGCTTCGTTTGCCGGGCCCCCCTGGGGCGCCTGCAGCGGCGCGGGCTGCGGCGCTGCAGCCGCAGCGACTGCTGCCATTGTCGCCTGCGAAGAGGGCCGCCCGATCCGATGGGGGCCCGACCTGACTTGCGCCGCATCATGAAAGCGTCGGCGCGGGCCCGGCCCCGCCCCACAGCAGCCCGCCCCTCCTCCGTGAAACAGACACCAGTCGGACTCGGTTTCAGCGTCAGCGGCGGGCGCGGCCTCCGCTTCGGACATGGAATCGCCCTCGTCGTCGCCGCCCGAGTCGCGCCGCGCGCGTCCGCGCCAAGGCAAGCCCACCCAATCCTCGAAAGGCGCGTCGTAGAGCTCCTCGATCCCGTCGAGCAGGCACTCGGCCTTGCGCTCGATCGACATGGCGGCCACGGGAAAGCGAAGAACCATGAGCCAGGCGGAACTTGATCGAGCTTGAGGGGAGCAGTCGGGTTCGGGGGAGACGACGCATTCAACGACGTCCTCTTCGGTTTTCTCTGAGCCGAGAAGTACGGACCCATCCCCCTTACCACTTCCCGCGGGACACTGCGCCAAGATATTTCTGTCGTTCCCGCGTGAGTTGCGCGTCGCGCGGTTGCATTATTCCATCGGGTGTAGATTGCGCCCTTGACACTGGCCAGCGGTGCGCCAACGACCCTTGCCCCTGCCCGCGCATCCGAATAACAAGTCTTCAAAGTCGAATTCGGCTAGCCTGGCGAGGAGCGCGGCCGTGCATTTGCCGCGCAATCTTCGGGCGCATCTACCACCTTCTCCCCGACCATTGCCCCTGCAAAAGAAGACTCGGCGTGCTGCTCGCCTAAGTCTCCTGACTGGTCTCTTCATATCTCGCCTCCAGCTTCTCTTGGCAGGATGACATTCTATGTGCGAGCACTGCGTCGCGGCGTCACCACGGGCGGGTAGGTCCGACCAATTCACGTTTTCAGCACTAGTGGAGGAGACCGTGTCGGTGTCTGTGCCAGAGTCGACCCATAGGGCGGTCGCGTCAGGTGGCGCGCAACGCGCAGCCGATGGCACGCCAGTGTTAGAGCCAGAAAACTGCGCGTGCTTGGATTCTTGGCCGAGGAGCGTTGCGGATTCAATAATGGCTCCGTCGTCCCAGATGCTGTTCGGCATAGCTGCCGGTGTGTCGCTTATTTCGACATGGTGTTTGCCAGCGTTGCGACCGCTGATGATGCCCCCGGCATTTCCGGGGGAACGCTCAGCCAAGTGTCCATGGCTGCGCATCCGCGCCAGGAGTGGGTCGCATGTTTGCTGAGTGCGGGGGGCGCGGTGGCTGAGCGGTTGCAATCGCTGATCTGTTCAGGAGGCACCAACTCACGAGGCACGAGATATAATCAGCATTACAATCTGGAAGTCGGGTATGTTGAAGCCCGCTGAGTTCGCTTTGAGCCTGGCCATGTAAAGTCGACCTAGTACTGAGTCGATGCGTTCGCCCCTATCGACCCTGAGGTCGACGAGGGCAATCCCCGACACGAGCTGTCGCTCGTCCTCAAGGTTTTCGAATTTGGTGCTTGGAAGGTACATGTGACTCCGTCGGTGCGTCTACCCTGTACTGTAACACCGTAGCTTGCGACGGTGGACGGCACCCTCATACCCACTGTCCTAGCTAAGCACCCTAGGCCGCGCTGTCATGCTGCGGCTGGTTGGGGTGGGGTCATGCTTCCGCTCGCGACGTTGAGCCATGCGTGTGCTTCGCGCACAAAGTCGCGGAAAAAAGCGTTGCCTGCGGGGTCCCAGAAGGGGCACCAGTGCGTGTTTCGTTCATCCCTCCTCCTCGCATGTATCCCACGGCGAGCGAGACCTAGGCACACCCATATGATTCCAAATGCTGCAATTTTGGCACAGCGCATGGTCAAGTGGCAGCTGATGTTGTCAGGTGTTGTATCATTGATGTTTGTCGCGCTGGTAAGGTTGCGACTGGGTATCTGGTCTGACGTGGCTGTCACTTTGCGGGTGGGTGCAGGTGTGTTGTCTGTGCGTGGCGTGTTGCCACGCGGCGGGGGGATAGAAGGGTGGGAATGTAGATTGCCACTTGGTTGATGAGAATTGGGAGTGTAGTGGTTGAGAGCCGTCGCAGTCGGGTATTATACTGTGCCGTGGTAGATTGTTATGTCCATGACACCTGATGTAAGAGCCAGCCACAAGCAGATGAGGCCGGCTCCTCTACCACATGAAAAGCAAAAGCAAAGGTCAGGGGAAACCCGATTCTTAGGATAACGTCGGAGACGTATCGAGGTATCCCAGAGCTTCTCCCTTGATGGCAGGCACCATGAAAGACCATACATAAGGCATGGGATAGAGAGATGTACCATCGGTGGATGTGGCCTTCATCCGACGCTCAGCTTCACGAGTGTCTCGCGAGTGTGAGCCAAGCATATAGGGCAGCGCTGCCTTGGGCCCAGGCAGCGACGGTAGGATATAGCGTTCGCTCTATTTCCCCCCCCCTGAGTCCGTTAAACTTGCGCAACTATTGGTCCAATCCGCAAAATACATGCAAGAACAACTGCAAGCACTATTGCACCTACTCCGGCCCCACCTTCTGTGCTACGCCCACCAGTCGGGCTTAGACCCGAGAGGCCCAGGATGGTCTCAACACCCCAACCCTGGGGCGCAGCCAGAAGCGGCGCCAGGGTGTTGAGACCACCCTGGGGCCTGTTGAGGCCGGCTAAGGCTACTCGGGGGGCCTGTTAAGGCCATCCAGGACTACCTGGGGGGCTGGGCCGTGCGCAACTCGAAACCTTACCAGGCACCTGGCTGAGGGCCTCGCAGACGCTGGTCAGTTGCGCGGCCGAGGACGACACGAAGGCAACTCTCTGCTCCAGGAGCAAAAGCCGCACGGCCAGCAGCAGCATGCCCACGCTCATGCCCGCGACAGCCCGCCACACCGGGATGGGCAGAAAGAGGATGTGTATAAGAGGGCTCTAAAGACCCACTCGAGTCTCGAAAAAATCACGGCGGACTTGTGTGTTGGAGATGTTCTGCCTCTTGGAGCCCTCGTCGGGCCTCGTGACCGTCAAACAACTGCCTGGGACGAAACATCAAGGGGTCCAGACCTCTGGGGGTCCACGCTGTGACAAACTCGTGACGACGAGGGTCTGGTGAGGAGAGAGCGGACGTCGACAGCGACGGACACCTCGAAAATCGGCCACCAGCCTTCTCTGGGAGCGCGTCCTGGCCAGGATCCTGAGACCAGCCGTGGCGCAGGCCGGAAGACGTCAAACGTCGCCGCCGCTGACCAAGACACGTCCAACATGCCAAGAAGAACTGTCGCGGGTCCATCCAGCCTGGCCAGCTCCTCGGGCTGCGCCCCGCCGTGGCGACGGCAACCTCCAGAAAAAGCCAGAAAAACACCACCGAAACGACGACGCCGACGACGACGGCGCCCACCCCGAGATCCGACGTGAGCAAGACATCGTAGCACCGCGGAAAAAACACGACCGGAGCCTTGGCCGCACTCCTCGAGCCAGGCCCGCTCAGCAAGGCCTCGCGAGGCCCGAGGCCGGGCGCACACGCCAGGCTGCGAACACAGAAATGCGACGCCCGGATCCGAGGGGACGACGGCGACGTCGCCGACGTCATCCCCTCCCCTGCTCCATGGAAACGCCCTCCACGACGCTCCGAGCCCCCACACCAGGGTCAAGCCACCCTCGCCCCTCGAAGCTCCATCCTGCATCCTCGACCCGGACGAGGGCCAACTGGGACAACGGCGACACTCCCGCCCGGCCCAGACGCGCCCAAGATCGATCCCCAGACCCATCTCAGGGTTCAGGGTGGCCCGGCTGCCGAGGAGGATCTGGCCGTGGCGACGAGAAGCTACCAGAAGGCCAAGAAGGACAGAACACGCCAGGGAGGGCCGCTGTTGCCTCGACTGGCCATCTGACGACAACGACGACGTCGACACGCCGAGAAAGCGTTTGTCTTTGGATTCCGGGAAGTTTACTTGCATGGAGGGAAGAGGTGGGGGGCGTGGCGAAGCCCGTACGGAAAACCTTCACGGAAGCCGGGACTCGACTCGCTTGAACGCCTTCTCGGCCAAGCGCTATTCGAAATGTAGCGGAGGGGGGCGAGAGGGGGGGAGAGAAATGCCACGCAAGTAAACTTGCAATAATTTTACAGTCGGACCTAGATGAGAGGAACATCCCTCTTCAACTCGAGACCTCCCGCTGAACATCCAAGGGTCTCCTCCTCGGGATGCTCAACACACATCCAACAAACACACAGAACATCAGAGCACCCTCCCCGAGCCGACCTCGATCGTATACCTCCAGCCGCTTGTGAGCTTGCAAAAATCTACAAAAACAAACACCGCGCCCGCGAACATCTACAAAACAACTACAAACAAAATCATGAAGAAAACAAAATCTACAAACATCTACAAACATCGAAATTAAAAAAGCCTTCGACGACAATAATCTACAAACAAAAATACAACAATCTACAAAAACAAACCCTCGACGACGTCGACTACCGCCCCAGCGCGCCGGCACGTGGGCGCCCGGCGCGCCGCCCGGCGGTGCGCGCGCGACACAGCGCCGGCCGCCGAGCCCGCCGCCGTGCAGGCAGAGGGCGGCGCCGGGCGGGGGCGCCGGGACCTCCACGCGCCAGGGGGTGGTGGTGGTGGTGATGATGGTGATGATGATGGTGAAGGTGGTGGCGATGATGATGATGCTGGTGATGACAATGATTGTCACGATGATGGTGAGGATGATGATAGCGACGATGATGATGATGATGATGATGATGATGATGATGATGATGGTGATGGTGATGATGATGATGATGATGATGATGATGACGATGATTACGATGATGATGATGATGATGATGATGATGATGATGATGATGATGATGATGATGATGATGATGATGATGATGATGATGACGATGTTCATGATGCTGACGGGGATGCTGATGATGTTGAGGATGAATATGCTGATGCTGATGCTGGTGATGTTGGTGGCAATGATGGTTATGGTGGAGGTGTTGATGGTGATGATGCTGATTGTGGCGATGGTGATGAAGATGCTGGTGGCGATGGTCATGACGACGACGATGCCGATGACAATGACGATAATTCGGGTGCTGATCACAGGATAATGATGATACCTCTGGATTGCTGGAAGTTTGAACGGCCTGCAGGGTGGCTGGCCACAACAATCAGGAAACGAATGGATTGAAAGGGATTGCGTGCCAACTGCTATGGAGCAAGAGTGAGTGGGTGTCCCAGGGTGGAAGATCAGCCCCCTGGGAACGGATGAAGGGAGAAGGGGCAAGAGGGGTATGAAGATGGGATCACGTTGCGCACGCCGCCGCTGCCTGCTGCATCCTCCTGCTGAATGCTCCTCCTTATCATCAAGCCTCCAATCCTCCTGCTGCTCCTTCTCTCCCCCCCCCCCTCCGCCGTCGCCTCCGCCTCCCTCCTCATCCTGCTGCCGCGCCCTGCTTCCCATCCCCGTGCTGGCAGAGAAAGAGATAAATAGGAAGAGAGAAAGAGAGAGAGAGAGAGAAAGAGAGAGAGAACAAGAGAAAAGTAAGGAGCAACAGAAAAAAAGGGGAACATGAAACGACAACAGACCCAGATATTCTATGTATTTTTGGGGGGAACACGGGCCTGACCCTTTCCCAGGGGCCGGTCTCTCATCCCGGGCCGGTCTCTGACAATCCTGGGGCCCTGCGAGGGCCCCGCGAGGCCGAAAACGGCCAACGACATTCCCGTTGTGATTGTTCCGCGACGCGGGCGTGTCTTGCGAGGGAAGGGAGGGGGAGGAATTCGTTCACTCCAAATCATCCAGCAAGACGGCAGCGCCACGGTCTCGGTGAACCTGGTCTGCGGGGGACGCCTGCGAAGAGGCTCAAGAAGAGGAGGGGGAGGGAGGAAAAGGGAGATGATGATGATGATGATGATGATGATGATGATGATGATGATGATGATGATGATGATGATGATGATGATGATGATGATGATGATGATGATGATGATGATGATGATGATGATGATGATGATGAAGAGGTGGAGGAGAAGGAGGAAGAAGAGGAGGACGGGGGAGGAGGATCAACTGTAAGGATTACCTGAAACGCTGAAGGTACGAGGACCCACTTACACAGCCATTCGATTGGCCTCAACCATAGCGCGCTGCGCATCCCTCATATGCAACGCCTTACGGATGTTTACGGGCATCTCTTTGGGATACGGGATACGGCCAAAAACCGTTGTTGATTCTGGCAAAGTTCTGCTTGCCTTTAGCCATGCGCGGCCGCCCCAACAGGAGACATTCAACTGCCAGGGTATCCGCCTAAATCCTGGCATAGCACCCACAACGACTACAAAACGTGCGGTTCATACAATCGATATACAGGAGGGTGTGCGTACCACGCAATGCGTTCCCACCCACACTTCGCGGCGACGACGACGACGAAACCCCAACCGCTCCAGCCCCGCCGCTCTGGAAGCACAACGTTCCTGCTCTAGCAAACTGAATGGGCCTGCGCTCGGACTGAGCAAACCACTCCAGGTCCGCGTGCAAGGCCGTACAAACACAGATCACTCAGTACCACGTCGCCCCCACTCTCTCCAAATGGTGGTGCGACGAGGCAGCCAGCAGGGCCCGAGTACAAGGGCGTGGCCTTTTGGCCTCATAGCTGGATTTGATGGGGCCGATCGCCACGCAGGCTAAATCGGCGCGGGCCGCGCGACGACGCACAAGGTGGGCAATCGCATCGGTGCGTCCGACCTCGGGCTTCACGGTGGCTTTACGCAGGACCTCGGCGGCAACTTCGCCCGCGTTCGGGTCCGCAAAAGAATTGCCCGAGATTTGCCAGAGTTGGACGGGGGTCCCATGACCCGTCACCTCCTCAGCCCGATGGCGATGGAGAAAAAGGTCCGCACATCACTTTTTCAGCTCTACTCGCACAGCGAGGTCGCAGGTTAGCGTTCGGCTTGCGGGGCCAGGCGCCTCCTGCGGGCCCATCCCTGGACGAGCGGCCCGTTGTCGGCGTGGTGCCGCAAGGGGAAGACGGAGCAGCGCAGGGCCAGGATGAAGGCGAAGAGCTCCGAGCGCGGCACCGTCTGGCGAGGTCCAGGCATGCCTGCCACGATGCCTGCCATCTCCTGCGGCGCCTCTGCGTTCTCGGAGAACGCCGCGGGATGGAGACTCCGACCCCGCGCTGGCGTAGCCTGGGATCGTAATTTTACTTGCCGCCCGAGCCGTCGCCGAGCACGTCCAGGTAGCCGTCGCTGCGCCGCCAGCCCTCCACTGCCTGCGCCGCCCGTGCCCCCCGCAGACAGAGTGGCGCCCTTGGGGCGCGTGCACCTGGTCCAGCAGGCGGGCGGCACGCCGCGCAGCCACAGGCAGGGCGTCTGCACAGGCCTTCCAGCGCGTGCGGCAGCAAGCCCTGCGCGGAGGTGCAGTCGGCGCGTTTCACGTTGCGCGGGCAAGACCATGCACGGTGAAACATCGTCTCCTGCTGACCGCATCGTGGGCAGAGAGCGTTCTCAGAAAGACCTCTAGCCTCTTGCCTTACTCGTGGCCGCGACGCTCCAGCGACCACCTGCAACAGAAGCGCCCGCATAGAATGCTAGCCATCTCTCTGGAGACGTGCCCACTGCCGTCGAAACCGGCGCAAGTCGGCGCCGCCCTGAAGACCCGCGCCGGCTTCGCGCCGTGACGCTCTCGCCCGCCGGTCGCGCTCGATGCTGGCCCCCCTCTCGTCGGGGAACTCGGCGTCATCCACTTCCTCGAGGGCGCCAATTCCCGAACCTCGCAAATATCCGACCCCCACTCCGCAGCCTGAGTCGCGCCCCAACCGATCGCGAGGAGCGCGCAGATGACCGCCGAGATGTCGCCCTTGACCTTGGCCCATCTCTTGGCGGGGGGGGCGGCTCTTGAGGCCCGCGCGCAGAATGCGCCACGCCCGCTGCGCTCGACGACGGCGCCCAAGGTGCCGACGCCGATGTCGCTACCAATGCGCCGGCAACTGCCGAGGCAACGCCAGACCAGGGTCGGCAAGGGCGGCATTAAAGCATCCACCGAGACACCTGCCACCAACGGCCCGCGCGGCCAGTCGTCGTAGTCCCAAGACGATCGAGGGGGCCGCGCCGAGAACCTGGCGGCCGTAGATCAGCGCTGGCCGAGCCCCCTTGCGAGGCAACCTGGTGGCGTACTTGCCCAGCTGCGCACGCTTCCTCATGCGACGGGTGATGCCCTGGGTTCGCCTTGCCACCGCTTTACCTGGCTACTTAGCTTTGGTTTGGGTGCGCCTCCTGATCGCTGCGATATTCACTCCGAGATCAACGGCGCGGCAGACCGCAGTAGCTGGCACCCCATTGCGCACGGTTTCTTGAGCCGTATTCCTAGCAGCGTCGTTGTTAGAAGAGACTACGATGGACTTGGGGGATTGCGTGAGCTTGGTGGTCTCGCGCTGCTTGGCGAAGATCTGCACAGCGCCGCCAATGCTGTCGACGGCTGCATGATTGTCCCCCTCAACGCGGAAGATAGCGTGGTCGACGAAGGCGCTGAGGCCGACAGTGGGGGGCGCCCGAGCTGACCGCCTAGAGCGGCGGGTACAGGAAGAGCTTGGCCACCTTCGCGCCCTGGCTGCTGCCTGCCACAATGGGGCGCTCCGCCTCGATGGCCC